CTGGGCTATCTCTGTAGATAATCAAGTCCCTAAGAATGAAGACAGAGTAGAAATGGAGAATGTGAAAATGAAGCAATTATAACACCTTCTATCGATGAGTAAATGAGCAGAAAATCCATAGATGCAGAACAAGAAAATAGCACACTTCCTTCAATAGAACCATGTTAGTGTTGCTTGTTTTTGTATTTGTCTTGTTTTGTTTTGTTTTCCTAACAAGAGAAAGGAGAGGAAATTGAAGAATGATCTGGAAATGTAGGGAGGCTATTGATCACAACTGGAGGTTCAATTTTAACTCATTGTCATGTAACTTAGCTGTTATTCAGGAAATAGGCTGAAAGACACTGGCAGATGAAAATTGTGGAGGCGGGAATGTTCTGAAGTTATCGGTGTAGCCTGGATCATCACTTTTAGCTGGCAAAAAGATGACCATTTCTATGGGAACATTAGCACATGAGTGACCTGACCATTGTAAGTCTCTTTCTTATGGTCCTCTACATCCAGCTCAGGTGATATGTTGATCAATCTGCTTTACCACACCAGGCAAAACAAGTACTGAATTTCAACCAATGGTCACAGATCTCATATTGTCTCCTCCTTGCTGGTACTATTCTTTTCTCCTTGGCTCAACTGTTGCCTTTTAAAACTCTTCACTTAAAGCAGCCACTAGGCTTTTCCTTGGGTACAATGCAGAAGAGGAAAACAATGATAGAAGTGGGTGCTTGTTATTTCAGGTACAGCTGGACAGGTGGGATGGGTGAGGGCAAAGCTACAAGGATGTCAAGAGTAGAAATGGTGACGTATGCCTTTGAAGCTACACAACTCCCTGCACAACCAAGTGAGTGGAGCTTTGAAAGCAATGCTGGTTAAAAAAAAAAAAAAAAAAAAAAAGTAACATAATATCAACTTAGTTAAGGCAAGATTATCTGTGGGGAAGGAAAGGCCTTCAGCCTCTATTTGGCCCTGAGGCTCATTGAGAGAGACCTTTGCTGATACTTCAGTTGGGCTCAGAAAGACTCCTGCCCTCTCCCAGAGATTGGCCAGCAGTCAGTCTCTCTTATTCTGTATTTTCTTACCATCTCTTCCCCTTTTTATCTGCTCTCCTCTGTTGTGCACATGGTCTCTTCCACTATGCCCTTCCCCACAGCCTTTTAAATGTGGAAATAAACAAAACAATAACATGATCAAGAGCTTACTAGTTTCTAGACCAAGTGTGGTGGCTTATACCCGTAAACCCAACACTTTGGGAAGCCAAGACAGGAGACTTGCTTGAGACCAGGAATTTTAGAGACCAGCTTAGGCAACATAGGAAAACCCCCCTCTACAAAAAAAAATTTTTTTAAAATTAGCTGAGTATAGTGATGTACACTTGTAGTTTCAGCTACTCAGGAGGCTGAGGCTAGAGGATCCCTTGAGTCTAGGAGGTCAAGACTGCAACTAGCCACTGCACTCCAGCCTGGACGATAGAGTAAGACCCGGTCTCAAAAAACAAAAACAAAAAAAAAAACTGGTTTCCAATGTAACAACTCCTTTATCTCAGAGTAGATGTACACATAGAATTGGAGGCTATTTTTTTCTTAATTACAATGTCTTAGCTCTTGTGAACTGAGTTTGCTGGTGTGGTTATGTCACTGTGGATAATGATTTTCTTGTTTCTTTACACAATGTTTATCAGCTTTGACTATGCTTCCTGTCCTGAGCGTGCTCCCTGTTTTGTAAAACAACTGGGGAACACTGAGATTTTTCATATAATATCTGTGATGCCAGGCTTCTAAGGGATAAAGAAATACAAAGAACAGTGAGTGGACAGATTGAGTGGGGCTTTAAAAGCAATGCAGAGTAGAAAGATAATAGAATATATACTATGAAGACACACGCAAACGTATGTTTATTGCAGCACTGTTTACAATAGCAAAGACTTAGAACCAATCCAAATGCCCATCGATAATAGACTGGATAAAGACAATGTGCCACATATACAACATGGAATACTATTCGCCCATAAGAAAGGATGATTTCATGTCCTTTACAAGGACATGGATGAAGCTAGAAACCATCATTTCAGTAAGTTAACACAGGAACAGAAAACTAAACACCACGTGTTCTCATTCATAAGTGAGAGTTGAACAGTGAGAACACATGGACACAGGGAGATGATCATCTCCCACTGGGGCCTGTCAGGGGTTGAGGGCAAGGGAAGGGAGAGCATTAGGACAAATACCTAATGCATGAGGGGCTTAAAACCTGGAGGTCAGGTTGGCGGGTACAGCAAACCACCATGGCACACGTATACCTATGTAACAAACCTGCATGTTCTGCACATGTATCCCAGATAAAAATTTTTACTTAAAGTAAAAATTTTTAAAAAAGAAAGATAATAGAATATTAACCTGATTAAGGCAAGATTTGTATGTTTTTAACATATATTCCCCATTAAAGATTACACATGTCCTTCTTAATGTTATTAACTCTGTCATGTATTAAGAGGAACAGAAAGGCATTTCTATTATATGAATTTTTCTTATTCTTTACTTGTAACTTTCAAAAAGAAAAAAAAATAATAAAACAAATACACACTCAGCTCTCCCCAAAATAACCAAAACAAAAACAATCAGTGCAATAATACTTCTCAAAAGATGATAGTGCTGGCCTCATTATCAGAAGGCCTGCCAGCTTCCGTTTATGCACTAGAAGTGCATTTAAAACTTTTATTCCCTGCATCTTGTCTTTAATGTTGTTATAACTTCAATCCACTTCATTGGCATTACCTGCTAGCAACATTCCATCTTCACATTTGGATGAGTGTGAACTTATCAAGGTGATGTATCTGTGATTTTCAGTGGAAATTTTGCTTAAAACTGGGTGCCGATTAGCAGTGACTCGCCTCCTTACCAAAGGAACAGGGTTTGCTGCCTGCTCAGCCACACAGCCCCTTGGGGGGCTTCCTAGGCTGGGATGGGCTGCTGCAGTATCATCACACTTTCTTAGTTATAGCACAGAGGTATAGAGGCAGGAGGAACATACTTGCTGTGCAGTTTTCCTGATACCACACCCCAGGGTAGGTTAGCACTCATGGAAAATCAGTTTAAGATGAGAAACATTTCAAACATTTTTCCTTATTTCGTTTCCCACGCGCAAATAGAATAATGCATTTTAAGTAACAAAGAACCCTTTAACAGCAAAACAAACCCAAAAAGATACTTCTCCTTAAAAGCCACTATCTACTTAGGATATTCTTCTTATATTAAATAAAAATACAAAGAGTAAAGTGTACTTAAAATCTCTCACAAAGATTGGAAATAAAATCTTCAAAAAGTGAATCCGTACAATGGTACATGCCCGGGACGTAACTCATTATTATGGGGAAATGAGAATGATAGCACCATGGTACAGGTGAATCAGGATAAGAACAAGCTAATTGCATTAGGGCAGCTCTCAGAAAACAAGAATTTATTTTTTGTGTGACAAATATGCCTCAGTACAAAGTACACAAATCATATTCTGACTGTTTCAGTGATATGCCAGTTTTATTTCAAGTGAAATAAATGAATTTTTAAAAGGTTATAAAAATGTATATGCTTTTAAAAAATTCTTTCAATAACCTGTTGGGTATCTGGAGTATCCATATATTGGAGGTCTTTGTTCTCATTCTACAAGGAAAATTGCCAAATCCACTCCAGAGTGCCAGGCTTAAAAAGGTGTTAAAGAGAGCCAGCCTGATTCCCTGAATTCCAATTTGGCTCACAATGAAAGGTAGAAAAATTACCTCGACGCATTTCAATGTTGCTTCTCCCATTGCAATAGACCTTATTTAATAGCTTATTACACTCAGAAAACAAAGCATATTCTAAGGAAAGAACTCACAGCTCCTGTCTCTTGACAGAACGGTCTCTTTGAATTCTTTTGTCGATTTCATAGATTTCTAACAAGCAGAGAATTGGTTTTTTTTAATCTGATTTTTTTTATGCCAGCAGCACTATTTCCTCCTCTGTAAGTAGGACAGATTCATGCTAGAAGCAACAATGGATGCTTCCCTGCTGAACTTGAGCATGGCAGATTAAGCTTCAAGCGGGCCGGTAAATACCACCTCCCCACTTAACAAGACTGTTCAGAGCCAGGCATTTGGGGCCATGCTGTATTTGTTCCTGGAACTGCTGGCTGATGAACCACTGCTGTCTGAGGCGGCCAAGCAGCCCTGACTGAGCGAGCTGTGTGAAGACTCGACAGAGGCCTGGCAGGGCTGAGTGGGCATGCCTCATTGCCGGTGCTTCCAGGCAAATTCCTTGCCTCTAAATTGTGCCGGCCTCAGGACAGTTGCCTTGTACAATGCCTGGCAGAAAGTAGGCACTTTCACATGTTTACTGACTATAAAAGAGAAAAATAGGGAGAGAAAAAAATCTGAGTTTAGAGATGCCTTTCAGACCTTACCAGATAAAATGCTGTTATTTCTGGCAAAGTGGTTAGGTGACACTGACATGGAAGAACAGCTAAGAGGTTAAAAAAAAAAAAAAACAGGACGAGCAATGAACAAGCTAATAAAACACATGGAAACAAAATTAGTAGTAGCCAAAATCTTTAATTGATCAATTATATTTCAAAATATCTTTTGTTAGGATAATGACACTTGCAATGTGATGTTTCTAAATGCCTTTTAGAGACCAGTGTGTTCCATAAAGAAAAATACACCTGTATCCAGAATTACAATTTTAAGAACCATTATTTAGATTGCTGTGAGGTATCTTAAAATGCAATTCAATTTGCTCCTTAGATATTGCGTATCAAACTATAAAAGCAGAGCTACATTGTTGGCTTTCTCTTTTTTTTTGGCATGGAAATACAATCGAGAATCTGCCTGTTGATGTCAGAAACAGACCGAATCAAACCATACAAAAGCATGAATGTACTGTTCTCACATTTATGTCATTGATGGCTATTTTACTTGTTTGAATCTTAAATCTTTCACAACCACATGCGTATGTTTGTCATTTATCCCCTTTTCTCAGGTGCAAAGAAGGCTACCAAGGAGTCCGTTGTGATCAATTTCTGCCGAAAACTGATTCCATCTTATCGGATCCAAGTAGGTCAAGCATTTTTCTTCTCTCTAATGCAATATTTAGGCAGCCCTTATTCTATACAGTGGTTGTTAACTCAACTGAAAGCTATATTTCAGTCTTGTGTCTCTGAAAGCTGCTGAAGGCAGAAACTGGTGGCAGATGTTGGTGTTGAAAGCATGCTCAGAGCTGGCTCAGTCTAGGTCTTCTCTGACAGTGAGGCCTGGCCTACCAATTCCACCTTGAACCCCTGCTGGGAACTCCCAGAAACTGGGACCTCCTTAGCTCTCCCTCTACCCAACCACCCAGGACCTCATTTCAAAAACAGGGATCTAGAAAGGTAAAAGAGCTGAAATAATGTTATGGAAACTACAGTGTTAAACTGCTTCTTATGCCTTGGTTGGTAATTTAAACCATATCTTACTAAAGTAAGAAAACATGTGTATAAAATCATGTAAGAAGTTTTCAAAGAAGCTTTAAAAACTCCATTTTCCTTATTTATTTATTTATTAAAGTTTCTTTAATAAAAATAAACTTTGAAAACTCCATTTTTGGCAACACTGTTTGCAGATCAGTAATTACTGTCCTAAGGACAAATTACTTTTTTCTCCATTCATGAAAGAAGACAATTGCGGACTAAAAAATATGGCTAGTCATTATTTTCTGTTTGTATGTGAGTAAAAGTAACCTTTTATACTAAAATGCCCAATTCTGGTCAAATGTGAAATGTTTATCCTTTAAAGAATTCTCTGCTCTTTCAATAGCTGCTGGAATTGAATCATTACTCAAAAAAGGGGATTTTTATTGAATCAGCAATTTAGTGAGGATAATAATAGGCATTTTGCAATTGTAAAGGCAAAGTTATGGCTTTCTGAATATCATACATACTGAATATACGTAACATAAACTTCAGCAAAATATTTTGTACTGACTACAGACAGAGGTCGCCCTGCCTGTGTTTGTTCATTTTGCCGCATAATGAACATGTCTCGCCATCTTCCACTATCTTTACAAAATGCATATTTTCATTTCCCCCCTGAATTTTTAGCTACATTTGCTTAAGTAACTGCAAAGTTATTTGAAAGAAAAAGGTTTTGTTTCATTTAATTTAAAATTCTATTTTATCTTGACAAAGCAACCCACCATACAGCAATTACTCTTTCTTTGCAAATTTAGCTTTCCTTGAGAAAAGTGAAGGTTGCCACAGGGATATCTCTATTTCCTGAAAGGTGAGGCACGGTTCTCTAGGAATTACCCAGAAAGGATGGTGTTACTGGAGTTTTTGGTATCTTATTTATGAAGTGATTTGGTCCGCTTGCTAAGATGTTATCTGAAAGGGTATTCATGGTTACGGTGTTAGATATATATTTGGCATATTAGGAATCTTGCATAAAATAATGGGCTTGCTGATTCCTTTCTCTTTCTCTTTCTCTTTGATTCCCACTTTTCCTAATGTATCTAATTTTCCTCTTTGTTTTTCCTTCTCTTTTCTTTTTTATCCCTTTTCTATTTATCTTTCTTCATCATTTTGTTTCCTTTAATACTTTTTCCCTCCCTCCCTCCCTCCCTCCCTCCCTTCCCTCCCTCCTTCCCTCCCTTTTTCCCTCCTTCCTCCCTTTTTCCCTCCTTCCTCCCTTTTTCCCTCCTTCCTCCCTTCCTTCCTCTTTTCCTTCCTCCCTCCCTTCCTTCCTCTTTTCTTTCCTCCCTCCCTCCTTCCCTTCTTTCCTTCTTTCCACCTTTGCCTTCTTTTCATACATGGCTGTGGAATAGCTATTGAGTAAGGCTCCAAAGGGCAAGGCCTTGCATATGGTACAAAGTGGGTAAAAAACTCTTTAAATAATATAATCAAATTTTAGCATCCATTTAGATATCATAGTTCATCATTGCAAGAGTGGAGGATGGGTCCACCATAATGACTGTTCTCTCCTCATAGAACAAAATGATCCCATGGTTACAGTCACTATCTCTGAAAACGTATTTCTATTTCTATTACATTACTATTAAAATTATAGCTGTGTGAGCCAGGCACGGTGGCTCATGCCTATAATTACAGCACTTTGGGAGGCAAAGATTCTTGAGGTCAGGAGGGTTCGAGACCAGCCTGGCCAACATAGTGAAACCCCGTATCTACCAAAAATACAAAAATTAGCTAGGTGTCGTGGTAGGTGCTTGTAGTCTCAGCTACCTCGGGAAGCTGAGGCAAGATAATTGCTTAAACCCAGGAGGCAAGGTTGCAGTGAGCTGAGGACAAGACACTGTACTCCAGCCTGGGTGACAAAGCAAGACTCTATTTAAAAAAAAAAAAAAGAAAGAAAGAAAAAAGAGAAGAAAAGTATAGCTCTCTGAAGTGTTTCTATTAAGTGAAATTGCAAGAGAGAAAATTATTTTTATATAAAATTGCAAAAGGAACATACTTTGGCCCAAATGTAGAAAAGAAATATACTAAAATGTTGAAAGGATATGGAATTTTATGAAATTGTTTTCCTATTTCTCCAGTTTTCTATAAAATGGTATATTTTTTTGAGTAAAAATGCCAGAATTCCTTGAAATTTTTTAAAAAAGAATAAGCACTGAGAACCCGTGGATGAGTCCCTGAGACAAAAGCATTATGTCTTCCATTCATCCATGCACACATGCATTTCCTTAGGTAATTGTTAATTCATTTCATCAGTATTTTCTGAGCATCCACCAAAAGCCACCTAATCGGTCAGGTTCTGTTAATACAAAGGTGTGCAAACAGGATTTAGACTCTGAGGATCCCACAGATTAGTGAGGGAGAAAAACATGTGGATATATAAACATGGGGATAAATTTGGTATAACATTTACCCCTTTCTGACCTCAGCGTATTTGATTTGGCTCCCAGGCCTCAGCAATGTTAACTGGGATTATAGGCGTGAGCCACTGTGCTCAGCTCACACAGTTGTAATTTTAATAGCAATTTAATGGAAGTAGAAATGGGTTTTCAGGGACAGTGACTGTAACCATGGGATCCTTTTGTTCTATGAGGAGCGAACAGACATTATGGTGGACCCATCCTCCACTCTTGCAGGGATGAACTATGATATCTAAATGGATGATTTCACCTGAGCAATGGTGAAATGCTTATACCTATAAGCATTATTGTTAATATAGATCGACAGAGTCAATGCCAGATGATGTCAGCCCACTTCCCATATTCATCACTATAATCATTACTAATATGTGCTTAAATGATACAGGTGCCAGGCACCGTGCCAAAAGCTTTACATGGATTATTTTAGTAAGCCCCCCAATCACAGTTTAGTAAGGAGAGTGCTGACAATTGCCCACATTTTATAGATGAGGAAATTAGACCTCAGGGATGCTAAGTAAACTTGCTCAAGGTCATACAGCTAGTTAATGCTAGAGTTTAACTTCCATTCCAAATGACTCTAGGCCCTGAGCTCCCAACTGCAGGGCGCCTTCCTCCCTCCCCTACAAGCCTCCCTTCTCTAGTTATTTTCAACGGGACATTTATCACTCTAAATTCCATTGACTGAAACTCAATGACCTGCGGCAAACATTATTCTAAGGAACAATATTTGCACAATTTTCATATCTTAATGCAGCAACTTGAGCTTCCATAGAGATTTAAATCCCTAATGAAATTTCCTTGTCAAAATTCTTGCTGAAGGATTGTTTAATTTGCTGCTCATGATATCTTCAGAATGACTCTAGGCTCGGGAAATAAGCTTCCATTCAGTACTCTCCCCTCCGTTTTTCTTCTTGTCTCCTCTCTTCTCTCCATTCCTTCTTCCTTCCTTTCTCTCTCTCTCTCTTGTCTGTCCAATGCATACTTTTGCTGAGTGAAATCCCCATTAACAGGGGGTGAGAATCCCCTGCTCTTTTCTTCTCTCCCAGGCAATGCAAAGTTGGTCAGAAATGTGTACCTTTTACACTAAATTTTAAAAATAAAATAAAATCTTTTTTTTTTTTTTTTTTTTGAGACGGAGTTTCGCTCTTGTTACCCATGCTGGAGTAACGAGAGCAATGGCGCGATCTCGGCTCACCGCAACCTCCGCCTCCTGGGTTCAGGCAATTCTCCTGCCTCAGCCTCCTGAGTAGCTGGGATTACAGGCACATGCCACTATGCCCAGCTAATTTTTTGTATTTTTAGTAGAGATAGGGTTTCACCATGTTGACCAGGATGGTCTCCATCTCTTGACCTTGTGATCCACCCACCTTGGCCTCCCAAAGTGCTGGGATTACAGGCGTGAGCCACCGCGCCCGGCCATAAAATAAAATCTTAAATGACCTATATTTAGGAAAATGATGCAAAGATGTCACTGTGAGAGCCTTAAAGGCTTAAATGACTATTTCAAAAACTCATCACCTCTGCTTTCTTTTCAATTCCAAGAACCTAGAGCTAACTCCATTCAGGAACACATTTACATATGAGGATCAATCTTATAAAGTGCTTCAATGACAGTTTTTATAAAAATATCTAATGCACCAATCTGTCAGATTGATCAAACCCTCCTATGGATTCAATGTACCTCAAGTTGCATCCACATCATGAGGCTGAATAGCAAGCAGGGGTTCAGAAGGTACGTAGTGAGTGACTCAGACTTTGGTCAGAGTCAAGAGGAAGTGACCTTCTGTGGAGCAGCCAGCATCAGCTAATGTAGCATTTTTGAAGGACATATTTCTGCCCCCTGCCTCCTATGCTACCAGTGCACCCAGGGATGGCAGCAGTAAGCTTCCCAGAAGCTGAGTTGTAGACCCCTGCCCTGGTCTTCCTTCCTTACTACCCATTCTCACCCAGTGCAGTTACCATCCCCAGCCTTGAAGCAGAGTTAGATGGAGCTGAACTATGTGTTGGTCAGAACTATGAGCCAGCCAAGGATTTTCTGCATCTCCTCTCTCATGATCACGTGCCAAGCTGAGTTCTCTTCAAGATGCTGACATAATCACCGGCCGATGGAAGCGTGGGGGCTGCTGCAGAGAATAGACTCAGAACAGAATCAAAGAATGGGGTCAGGTAGAGAAGACGCCCATTGGAAGCA